GGGGGGGGGGGTTCGGCGGTGCTCGTCGGCAAAATCTGTTCATTTTTTCTTGTATCGTGTTTGCCAGCTCGCTTTAATTAAGAACAGCGCTCGTCGTCGGGTATTGTTTGCAAATTGCAAATTGCATGTTTCATGTTTTCCTGGTAGTTTTGGCCGTAAGCAGACCCGGTGTGGTGTTTGGCTGCCGCGTTTGGATCGCTCTTGCTTGCCGGCTTATTGGTTGGTTGTTGCATGTGAGCGGTTGCATGTGAGCGGTGTATTTCTCCCTGAGGATCTGTTTGCTTTTTCTCCTTGCATATGTGTATGCGATGTCGGGGCTATGTTGGCTTTGTCGCCCCCCCCTGTGACTCTTCGTGTGAGCACGGTGAAAAGAACGGTCGTGAGATCGAAGGCACACAGGCGAGAGCTGCCACCAGTAACTCCGGTGTGGTTGTCGGTTGCACGTCGCGGTTTAGGGAAAATCTTGTAGCAATATTGGAGCGAAGAGGCTATTGGGGTCAGGGATTGAGCAGTTACAGACCTTTTCTTGTCGTCATGTCCAGCACGCGAACGAACCGAACCGGACGATCGGTGTCAGTCGTATAGTCGAATCATCGTTTGTGTGGCACGGTGCACACATACAGCACACACAGCAGCAGCGTGCGCGTAGACCAGACGTTCCCCACTGCCGCTTCTCCGCAGAAAGGTGCTGTATAATTCTATCTGTCTGTAAGGGCCACAGGTCGGAAAGGAGGAGAAAGCAGAGTAAGACCCTCTGACAACGGTTTTGTCTTAGTTTATTGCTGCCGCCCAACGGTCTTCTTGGCGATCTCGACTACAGAGTCGGATTGGTTCGATTGCAAGGTTTTAAGCCAAAGATGAAGGGGATGAGTGAGTTATTGTTTACCAGGGCTGAAGTTGGGCGCCCGTAACGAAAACAAAAACACATCATGTACAAAAGGGGTGGGAGAGGGGGCGCTGGGGCACGCGCACGTTTTTGCCGACGGGGAGTTTATTCAGCTCAATTCAAATTTTGTACACACAACGAGCTGGTTGGAGTGAACGGGGGGGGGGGGGGGGTCTTGGCGGTGGTGTTTTGCGGGGCTCCATTGCTAAGGTCATGACTCTGTTCACTCGACGAGGTCGTTTGCATTTTGTCCATGTTTCACCCGAAGGGACAACGCGAACAATGTTGTAAATATTTTGGGATGGTATGGTGGGGTATGGATGGGCATGCATATTTTGGTACGGCCGGCAATGGGTAGTCTTATCTTAGTGCTACAAAAGCGTAACGTATATTGGGGGGGGAAGCTGTATGAATACGAGTCTTGAGGCAGGCAACCGGTTTTCGAGTCGGGAGAGCTTCAATGCTGCGTTCTTGTACTTGCGAGGTGCGGAAATAAACATGTTCCCTACCAGTGTGACGAGTCAGATTGATGGCGGATGATGATGAAATCTAGATTTTTGCTCTTGGTAGGTTTTCGGTGTATGTATGCTATCCGTGCTGCTGTCTGTTTTGCAAGGTATCCGGCGTGATGTGGTGTAGCACCGTGTTGATTTTGATCTCACGACAACCAACATGATGCCGGTTCCATTTTTGTTTAGGTGTTTGGAGGAGAAGAAAGGGGGGGGCGGGGGGAGAAGCACGCCCATCTGCGGCTAAGTTGGTCTGGTGGGCCGTTGGCCGGGGATATCTTTCTTGACGGAAGCAAGCAAGAGATTGATTTCCGGCACCGTTGGCTCGAGGCTAAGCAATGAAATCAAGGAGGGGAGGAGTTTCATGTACGCGAAAGGGGGGGGGGTCAGGTAGGTTGATGTCGTTGTTATAGACAGGTATGGTACGGTGCCATGTTCATGGTACGGTACGGTACGGTACGGTACCGACGTAAGACGCATGTGTAGACCGCATCTGCTTCCCTTCGGTCGTTCTTGGTAATCTAGAGACGTGAGTCCTCGTCTGTAGGGGCCTCGTTGCTTCTTGCCGTTTTGGCATTTTCATGTGTGGCCGTTCTGTTCTTCATCTTGCTGGTGCAAAATTCGAAATTGATATGTAGCGTGGGTGAGGCTTACGGCTGAGAACGAACAGAGGTCAAGTCACACCGCGCAGAAGTAGGTGGCGGGAGCAACTGGGTTTGCTTCCGGTGGTGCTGGTCTGGTGTTGTCGGTGATCATAAAAATTAACACTGATTTGTCAACAAGTACGAGCTATAAAGACAAAACAGGTAGAGGCAGCTGCAGACAGTAGCTGCTTGTTGCGCAGCAGAAGGGGGAAGGGAGCGCGGCGGTTTGATAGAGAGATGATTTCATGCGTGCTTGTTTGTTCTTCTTTCGGCCGCTCGCACACAGGACAAGACAAGAGAGTGAGGACTTGATTTTTCGGGGGAAGTGGGAGTATGGTACACTGCAGGCAGGCCTCTACGTTCGTTTGCATGCGTTATCCTCCAACTTTTGTACCAGTGATGATCAAATCAAGCTCACGTCGACGTGAGTGATAGGTGTGCAATGTTATGCCTCTTGTACATGCGTGTGGGGGGGGGCATATTGGACGAAGGCAGGGGAGCAGAAATATATCGACGGGCATGCATGCCTGGATATATGGCCTTCTTCGTTGGGGGTTGGAAGATTTGCTGTACAGGACTTGATGGAGTGAGTGGTGGTTTATCTGGTGAGTGAGGTGCTCTTTTCCGCTGCGACACAAGCGGAGAGAGGGCCAGTGGGGTGGTAATTGATACTTGTATTTTTTTGTTGGCACCTTGATGGCGTAGAGATGACGATTCTAGGGAACAACAGGCAGGAGGGCGTTCAGGATATAAAGCTTTCCGTATATACGATGAGGCTACATTTATTTATTCATCATACCGGTTGACGTCAAGTCTCGCCGCTCGTGAAGGCTTCATTCAACCTTTGGACCAACAACGCTCGAAGCGTGGTTGGTGGCAACAACACGCATTGCATCCACTTCTCACCTTGATTTGGTAGTCATGAAGTTTTTCAACATTTTCTTTCTTTTCGTCGTCGTCTCTTCAAGTCAGCGCTTGCAGCGTTCGTGCTGCGTACTCCAACCGGCGGTCACACCGGCCACACAGAAGGGCCCCTCTCCCTGAGGCCCCTACCCACCCCTCCTGCGGTACTGTTTTGCCTTCAATTTTTAATGCGAGTGCAGCACTCTCAACTCCAGAACTTGTGATTTATTTTTTGGCTTTGATCCCAATACCAAGGACAAGAAGAATAAGCTTGGATTCTTGGATCGGATCATGCACACCACACCACGCCCTGAGTACTGTTGTACTGTACCAAAGGCGTACTGGGCGACCGTCCTGAATAAGTGGAAGAGGCCATCCGTCAGAAATGGGTTCTCAACAAAACGTTTTGGCGACAGCAGTCGGCCTATCCTGATGGACCAATTTTCGAAAGCATTGATTACCTCCCCGTGTCTCCACCAGACGTATGCGTATGGGCATGGTTTTATTTGCTGATGACAACGGAAGCAAATTCTGCGTGCCCCCCTCACCCCCCTCCACCTCTCAATGTACAGCAGTGTCATCATCGGACGCGAAATATTGACTGACTTACGAAGCACGGGAAACAATCTACATTTTGTTGTTTAGGTGTGGCACACGAAGTAAACCACTGGCCGATCAGAAAGCAGGAAGGAGGCGAACTGCGGTTGCTTCCTGGTGGTTTCAGTCGCTCGTTTGGTTGTGTTGACCGGGTGTCTTCGAGCGAGTGCAAGTGTGTGGTGGCCAAGGAAGGGTGTCTTCGTGGCATTTCTCTCAAGTTTCAGGGGCAACCTGACTCCCTCCCACGTTGTAATCTCCCGGGGTATGAAAAAAACCGTTACATCCGATCCCGCTACACTCTTCCATTCCCTGTCTGTGCCTCGGCGCGAGAAGAAAACAAACTATCTACAGTAGAATAATACGCAATGCTGCCCGAGGGAGACTGAGTATCAGACGATACATTGACATGTATTTGGGAAGGGGGGAAGAAGGCTCATTAATGAGCACTCCAACTTGCGTTCTTCGCCACCTGTTGATGTTGAGGGGGAAAAAAGAAAACACCTATAATAGACAGAGGAGAAACAACAAACATAAAACTTCCAAAGCTCTTCTCAAGGAGACCCAGCCCTCCATTAGAAGGACAAATCGCCCCCGTCTCCTTCCACCACGAAGTATCTATCAGTCCACTTCTCTCTTAAAGCTCTGCTATGCTCCCGTCAGTGCCACCGGCCGCTCCCCTGTTGGCCTTGTAGCTCTCCGCCAGCTTCTCCATGCCTCTCCAGTCTTGCACTCCCCTCACACTCGAGTCGAACAGGGCCTCCACGGCTGCGCTGGCGAGGGTCTCCACGTGGACAGGCCTGTCGATGAACGGCAATCCTAGGCGGCTGCGAAGAGATGACACATTGGGGCCCGGGAGGAGACAAAAGGGGTGGTACTCGTGTTACGCATGCCTTTGTTGTTAGGCCAATTGACCATGCGTCCCCGAGAAGACAGAGCACTGCTGTCGGGGGGTGATACAGCAGGTATGCTGCTTGCCGTTCTGCAGAAGCACTGAGACACGGGCTAATTCAACCCATGCCGTTACAGCCGTCGGCACCCGGTTCATTCTTTCTCTTGTTTTCGCCCCGTCTGTTATTCATTCTGGGCGGCACCAGTCCCAGTCCACGTGTACTACAGTATGTCGACGGCGCAACACCCAGGGACAGTAGGCTTTACACTACACATTTCCCGTGGGTCTCATACGTAGGGTACCACACCTCCTTGGACCTAGGGTTGTTTTCAAAGCTCGATTGCTCCACGACGACGAGGATGAGGAAGTCAACCGATAATGATCCATTTTTCAGAAATTTTCTTGCCGAGACGGTTCCAACGCCGACGCTTTCGGCACCATCACTTCCATCATTTCCTTGCGAGTCTTTAACCTTTGGAAATCGGTCAAGGGGGTGTGATGCCTTACGTCATGTCACCTACGGTATTTTTTCTTTTTTTTTTTTGTCTTCACTTCAAATCAGCGCCTACAGCACTAGTGTCGTATACTCCAACCCGTGGTCTAACAGAAAAGCCCCTCTCTACTCTCTACCCTCCCCTCCTGCGGTACTTTGCCTTCGATTTTTAATGCAAGAAGAATTCAGCACTCTCTTCCCTCTGTGTACACACGAACTAGCGCTATCCACTAGGCCAGGAGCGGAAGCGAGAGAAAAACTCACTTTGCAAGAAAAGCTCGCTTACGCCGGGATTCGAACCCCTGACCTGGCCTCTAAAAGGTTTCGAGGTTACCAACTAGACCACCGGCGACCGGCCGTGATGGCACCTACTACACCGAGAATGGAGGCGTGTCTGGCCGTCTGACCTACCTGCCGATTTGGAAGGCGGCGACGGGTAGAAGCGCTCCCGGTCGTCGCTTTGTCCACACAAGGCTAGGTCTGAGGACGACCCCTCTGAGCGACGGTTTGTTGTTGAGCAACTGCGTTGGAAGAGGTACGAGACAAGGCGGACAGAAAAGGGTTCAACAGGGGTATGCGGTCGTCGAAGACGTCTCTGGTTCTGAAGAGGAGAGGGCGTGCGTTAAGAAAACAGAACAGGCATTGTTTCTTGGTTCACGGCAGCTACTGTACAACCAAAAATTCGTCAAAGTTCAAAGAGAGAGAGCACAAGGGACCCTTGGGACGCGGTATCCCCAAACACTCACACCACCACCTAAGCCGAACAAAGTGAAAGTAGATGGCATGGTACCATGCTGCCTGGTAACACTGGAGACCACGAGGCGCAGTAAAGAACACCGACTTGGACTTGAAGAAAACGAGAGCCCACCTCATGTATCACTGGAAACACACAAGACAACAACCGAAAACAGCAGCAGCAACAACAACAACAACAACAACAACAACAACAGAGAGACATCTTACCTCGTCCTCAACAGCTCGTTTGGCCACGAGGTAGTCGTGAAGAAACCCCACTGGAGAACCCTCGAAAATGCCGTCGAAACCCCACTTCGCCTCCGCCGCGGAGATGAACACGAAAGGCCTCTGTGCAGACAACAGACAACACACCGACCACACCGCACGGCACGGCACTTAGGTCAGGCCGTCGAGAACGAGAGCACCAATCGCCGCACAAAGGTCGACGGTTCATAGGACCACCAACTCAACACGCTGCCGTGTGTCGTGTGATCTGTGCCGTACATGAAAGGATGTCTGTTGTGACGTTACAAAGCTTCGACTACTCATCATCACGTGAAGCCAACTCTTGCTGCGTAGTACTTACCACCGCTCTTCTTTTCTTAAAACAAAGGAAACTGTCACTCCCGGTTCCGACCTCCTACATTGGAAGGTCTCTTCCGACCGGGGCCCACGCAGACAATAACTCATCCGCGGTGAACGCCTCTGTCAATTCTTGAACGCAAGACGAGACACACATTCCACTGGCAACCCGAACGGGAACCAATCGGGTGAGTGAACCGCACGCGCCTGCTGTGACCCCCCCTGGGCGAGGGCGTCGAGGGCGGCCGTTGCCGCAAAAGCGGTTTGTCTGGTGATCTTGTCGTAGGTGGTGCCGGGGTCGGGCACGGACCCGGACCCGCTCGCGAATCGGTTAAGGCTCCCCGCGAAGAGCATGCCCACCGCGTGGACAACACCGTCGTAGTCGCCTGCAGAGGAATCGGGGAATCGGCATCGTATGGAATGCATATCGTAGTCACATTGTTTGTATGCGTCTCGTTGTCGGTGCTGTTGTTCTTGAGGGTGTTGTTCAGCGTTGTGGGTGTTCAGAGCGGTCGAATTGCGACGGTGCGGTTTGCGACTAGCTTTGCGAAGGGGACGGAAACATGGTCGCTGTTCCCGTCAAAGAGCAAGAAACTATGTCAGCGTGAGGCCAAAAGCACGAGTCTCTTCTCGCGCAGCGGGCCCTCGGATGGGATGTAAAGCAGGGGCATTGAACACAAAGGGGTGAGGGGGGAGCGTGAGCAATTTCTGCGCAGGTCTAGAAGGAACAGCTAGTCGTTGAATGCCGTTGGTTGTCAAATGTCCAGAGCTTGCTGCTGTTTTTTTAAATTAAGTCAGCACTGCTGTTTGTTTATCTCGTATTCTCGCTATGCGTAGCACCAACTAAATAAATAATCTGTGGAATAAAGATGGACACAGAACGATGGCGGCAGTGTACAGGACTGTGACATGTGTCGGTTCACGTGTAACGAGAGAAAAGCGGCGTGATTTGGACGATCATACATGGCTGCCTCGTTGAGGTCAGTCCTGAACAATGAAGAAGAGCTGTGCGGTGGGCAAACCAGCGGTCTAACATCTCTGAGGTTCGGAAACTAACAAGAGGCCTCGTCAGCGACCACACAAATCCCCTCGATTGGACGACGGCCTCACATAAACTAATCGTGCTAATGGCATACTTTCTTGAACCAATGATAAGCTAATGGCTGTAGGTGCAGGGAGAAAAAAGCGCCATTAACTGCTGCCGACACTTGCCATCGCCGATGACCTGTTGAACCACCGCGGGGTCGGTGGCATCGCCCTTGAGGAAATTAACCCCGGGAAGGGGATCGCTGTCCGGAGAGGGAGTTCCTCGCCTTGACAGTGACGTCACCTGGTGCCTCGTAAAAACAAAAAAAAGACATACGCGCGGAGACGAGAGAAGGCGTTGGAAGCTGCATAGAAGCGCAAGCTGTAACGTGTGTTGCCACCAATGAATGTTGTGCAAGCTGAGAATTGGTCCAGCGTGAGGTTGGTTCCGGTCTTCTCCATTCGACCATTCCACCCACTGGGGTGCACAAGCAGAGTATACTCCAAGTGTATTCACACGCAAAGCTGACATATTCATTGTGTGTGGCGCGTCTGCTCTCTCTGTACGGGCGCACAAAGCTCCAAGCCCCTTTTCGCGGTACTTGGAGTAGACTCGTGCCAGCCGAATGTGAAAACGTCTGGTTAGCCTGGATGCCCAATCAAACCCATGGCGTATCTGGTTTGGCAAAGAAAATGCAAGGATGATGGCAAGCCTCTGGTTCATTCGCGCGAAACGTAGCCTGGGACGGCGAAAACGAGGTGTAGCGCTCCGTCCCGGCATTGTAGGGATGCGAGGCCAGTGGTCTAACGACTATTGCATGCGTTTACCGAGTACGCCTCCGCGTCCCCCCCGCTGGACAGAATTGTTCTTGTTCTTATTAAGGAACTCTTGTTCAAGGACGTTTGCCGCGTGCACTGATGGCGAACAAGAGGCGAAACGAGCCCCGGAATAGTTGTACAGGCGGAAGCCCCCAAACAAACCTTGTGATGACTACTAATAGGTAAATAATAGGTCGGAGCTCGAAGCGCTCGGCGAGATGTGTCTCTTTTTTTCGACCTTCACACCTATAACAGCTAGCATCAGCGTGCGCCCAAAACAAACGTATCGAAGAGGTGTAAAGATCTACACACGTCTGTATTGTCCTTGGTCGCCTGCGGAGTTCGCTGCAAGCAGTGTACAGTATTTGGCTTCTCCAGTTGGGTGTGGGATTCTGGCTTGGACCCACTCCAGTGGTTGTTGGGGATAAACAATAGAGCCACGCGTCGAGGAGGACTTTGCTACAGCAGTATCTCCAGCAGCAGAACATTTCATCGGGATGGTGACAAAAACTGTCTTTCCAAGTGTTCAGGGTTCACGGTGAAGTTTAAGTTTATCGAGTACAACCGTGTGTGGACACTACGCTTGTTGTGCGTTGTCATGCCATGCAACATCCATTGTTGTTGTTCACTCAACATGTGCATGACTCCGCCAAGAAACCTCTGGCTCCTAACTTTTAGAAAGTGGCGTAAGAAATGGCTTAGTTACATTCAATATCAGCACAAGTCAACCTCCATGACTTGTCAGCGCCAACCTACAACAGCAGTAGTACTAAATACGTTGCGTATCACTGTGGACGCCGCTGACTGGATCGTAGACTTTATTGGTCAGACCCAAAAATGATTCATAATAAATTCCGGATCATGACAACATACGGGCGACACCTGGGCTACTCACCTCGCACCCACTGTCGACAGCGATCCGAGACACCGTGGATCCTATAAAGCCGGTTCCACCCAACACGAGGATCTTTGGGGCGAGCGCCATGGCCGTATCGCCCACCACAGCTAGGGCGATCAGCAAGGTGAGCAGCTGCATGTGGGATCGTGCTCTACAGCTAGTAGTACAGAGAGCTAAAAAAGGCGGCGGAACTACGCAATTCTGGGAACCCTGGGTTTGCGCGTCCGGTGCCGCACCTAGGAGCTAGTCGGTGGGCAGAGCGCGGTGCAGAGGGAATCCACTGGTTGTATTCACCCTGCGGACGAGCTCTCCTGCCCTCTAGTGCGGCGGTGGTGCTTGCTGCGAGCTCGATGCGAATCTCGGTCGAGCGAAAGAGAGCCAGCCCTGGAAGGCTTTTTCGATCCCGGGGACACATGACCGCGCGCGATTCGCACGTTCGTTGTGCCGGCTCACCTCTCACACACTCCCGAGCCAAGGCCTTCCCCTCTCTCCGGCGCAGTTCCCAACCGGAGGCTGAGACTTCAGGAAACAACAGGCCGCCATGTCCGGTCTTCCGTCGGATCTTCCGCAGAAGACCACGGGGGGAATCAGCAGCATTCCCCCCAGCGTTCCAATTCAAAGAAACCCAGCTCCTCCTCCTCCTGCTCCGCAGCGTCCTGTTGTTGCTGCTGGTCTCGCCCAAGCAGCAGCAGCAGCATCACCTACAGCAGCAGGGCCGGTAGGCTACCAGCCGAACCACGTGGGGGAACAACAGCAGGGCGACCGACGACATCTCATCGGAGTGGGTGCTGCCGCGGGCCAGCTTGGACCACCCCCTCGTGCTGCTCCGGGGGCATGGTCGTCCCATGTTGGCAATCCAAACGGGACTCCATCGATATCAGCACCGCCGAACACAGCAGCTGCGATCACCGTGCAAGCGACAGCAGCGGCGCCGGCGCCGGCGGTACCACCGGCAGTGGCTCCCGCCGCGCTGAACGTGTCGACCCTGCGCCCGGGCTTCGCTCCGCAGCCGACCCCCCCCGCGCTGCCGCAGTTCGCCATGCACCCGAACAACAGAGCGTTCTTCAGTGGGTACGCGGTGTCTCTAGCCGCGGCTCATGCGGCCGTTTCCGGTGGCAGCTCTCTCGCTGGCTCGGCTGTCGTGGGCGCGCCCAGCAACAACAACGCCGCTGGGCCGCCGGCGCTGCCGCCGGCGGGGGTCTTCCAAGCCAGAGGAGCCCCTGCTCCGAGCCGGCCCACTGTCCCCATCGCTCCGGCTCCTGGTGGGCAACAAGTCGCGGCTGCTACTACTGCAGCAGCAGCAGCAACCGCGTCTCCTCTCAGCAGCGGCAGCAGCACCGCCGCCCCTATCGCGCCGCATCCCCAAGGGCCGACTCCCGGTGGCACCCAACAGCCCGCGACGACGGCGGGCTCGCCGGCGCCGCCGACGCCGTCGGGTGGTGCTAGCGCTAGCTCCGCTGACCCTGCTCCTGCTGCTGCCGCCGCTGCCGCCGCCGCCGCTCCGGCTACGGCGGCACCGGACAAAACGGCTGTGGCGGTGCTGAAACCAGAAGCGACATGTTCATCAGGTGGAGATGGTGGTGCCGGAAAGGGAGAGAAGGGCAAGGACAAGGATAAGGACAAGGAGAAGATGCAAGCGCCCAAGCCGAGGAAGAGGTGTGTGCGAGTGTGGAAGGAACCTCTGTCATTATCCCTCGGGATATAGACAAGAGGCGCGGGTTTTGATTCGTGGCCTCGTTGTTGGGGGTCTTGACGTCTCGGCGGAAAATCGGCTGTTGCATCATTTGTTCAGATTCTCTGGTTTAGCCGTTCTCTCTTTCCTGCTCTTCGCCGTTCGCAGCGAAAGAGCTGGCATTAAATTATAAATTCCGACGCTGCTGCTATGTAAGCCATTCTGCTGAGATTGCCAGGTCAACTAGACGGACAAAGTATTCCACTCGATGGATGAGGAAAGGGCGGGTGGGCATGTATCACAAGTGTTCCCGATCCTCAAGGTTTCGACTATATTATATCTATCAACGCGTACAACACAGCATATGGTAGGCAAGACGGAAATCATGTGTCTATTTAGTCTCCACACTTTGGCCCTGACGCCGCCAGACGAAACCATTACAGAAGTGTTGTATATAGGAGGCACCGTTGTATGTTATCTGCTTGCGTGTGCTTCATTTACTCGTATCGGCGATAACCTTGCCGTACCAGTTAAACAGCATTTCCTCTGCCCCCTCCCCCCCCCCCCCGCGTTGCTCACATCCCACTACAGTCGTTCCCTCAGTAAAGGTCACGTACCGCCTCCGCGGGGGGGTTATTGTTAATATATGAAATAGAGAGGGGGGTTTCGTCTCCCTATCCCAACGCTGAACCCCAACCCCACCCACACCCCCTACGAAAAGCAAGATTAATATCCTCGCGAAGCCTAAACTGAAGGACACGCATTGTAATTGAAAAAGGTGTCCGTAAGCGGGGGGGAAGTGTCCTTGAGATTGATGCCCCCTGGTATGTTGTACATTCTGCGGGGCACCATACCTGTTGCAATAAAACGTGTCCTTAACCGGGGGAGAGGTGTCCTATAAATGGTGTCGTTCCGAGGGAAGACTGTACTGCTGTGTTCCGTGTTCCGGCTCGGGATAGGTGGTGCAAAGCATGGTTCAATCGCGCCAACACCCATGCGGGGACACACCACACAATCGGTCATGAGCAGCAGCAGCAGCAGCAGCAGCAGCAAGAAGAGGAGCAGTGTCACTCGTCTTGACTCTGTAGGCCAGATCGGTTCGAACTTCTTGTACAAGGAGATGCGGGTGTCAATGTCAGAACTTGATGACCCTTTCGAGATGACTCTCGGCATTGCCCTCACTCTGACAATAGCATTACGACCAGCCTTTATTCCCAACACACCCAGAGAGCACCGTGTGTGGCACCATGCCCACGTTCTGCACCGGACAGCGCTCGTTTGCTTTAGGACGACCTTCCCCAAAGTCTGAAGCTTTCTGTTTTTTTCGACCGACACGCCTGTTCCAGGTAACTCGTGTTTGTTTTATTTTTGTGTTGTGGTTGTTGTCTTCACGTTAAAAACTGTTCCGATCTCTCTGTTCGGTACCTCCCTCTGTCCGTACTGATCTACAAGTAGGGTTAGTGCATAATGTACAACGCCCTTATTTTGCGGTCAGAAGTGAAGGCAAGCGCCTCAGGAGGAAAGGAAAGAGGAAGGTGGAGAGTTACAGCAGTAGTCCTCCTGTCTGTTTTATTTCCCCCGCCTGGTGCGTCAAACGCTTCCCGAAACGTGTAGACTGGCTCCCACAACATAATAGATAGGACGAGAACCAATGGTGTGGAAGGGTAGGGCTGCAATGCTACAATACATACCCGAGAGAGGTCTCGCAGGGATTATTCCTGTCATGAGTCCACTCCATGACGGCCTTCTTTAAGTCTTGAAGGCATTACGTCACACGCCGGCGCTCGATACTATAATATTCCGTGGAAAGTACTATACCGTGGTTGAGGGCATTGAGGACAGGTAGCAGGCGGGGCACGTAAGATGCAGATTGTGTTCAGCCCATGAGAGCACGAAGCTTGCCATGCGGGAGATGGGGGACAGGGGACAAAGTTGGAAAGAGGGATCACTCTGAAAACAACAAGCTGTGCTGCGCAGCCGGGGTAGAGGAAGGGTGTATGCTAGATACTCCGTGAGAAGGGGGTCGATAAAAAGAAACCTACAAAAATAATCAGGCGCAACAAAAATGTACAGCCACGTGGTACGAATATTAATTTTTCGATACTTGGCAGTATCCCATGCACGGAAACACGGAGTGAGGGTGTCAAGGGTCGGTGACAAAATCCGTCCATAATGCGTTATGCATCCTTTATCCAAAACAGACGGACGGAAAGACAGGCAGGAAGGCACAGCAGTGCTTGGCATGGCGGGGATTAGCGGAACTAGCGCAACTAAACCAACGATGGTTGGCATCACAAAGCGGGAGTGTCACGCCTTTTCGTGCCCATGTGTGAAACCCAACACTACAAGACTTCTGAAAACCGACACTTGCGAGGCTTCCGTTCGTGCTGCTGTGCGATAGAGAATAACTCGTTTGGAAGAGGACACGGCGCTAGGTCAGACTTGATACGAGATCATAATGCGTGTACAGTCCTATTCATTGTTACCAAGATGGGGACTAGACTGGAGAATGGAAAGAAAAGTGTAGCAGCCAAGAGCAAGTAGGAGAGATGCGTAACATCAACACGATAGAGAAAACATCCCCGTGCTGCAGCAGCGAGCGTATATATTGCGAAAGTCCGGAGGGGTACGTTGGTTGCTTTCAAAGAATCGTCGTATACGAAGTACCTTCTCGGCAATTCACATTACACCTTCACCGTGCTAGAAAGGTAAAAGGGGTAGTAACAGCATCCAGCTTGGGACAAAAAACACTTTGTTTCTGAAGTGTCCTGTGGTTTCTTCGTGTTTCCACAATAACAACAAATCTTCAAAAGCGCGCGTCTGGAGTGCACTGTGCGGGTCTTTCAGGAAGGCAACCATGCTGTATTTTAATATTGCGTAAAAAGTAAAATGTTACCGTCCAAACGGCGGGGGGCGAGAAACAAACCCTCAATACGTGTGTATGTGGTATGTGCAGCCCTACCACTAGCGGCTACATGTGTTCGGCTGTGCTCGAGGGTGACCTGAATTGCCTCTGAGACAAGGAAGTGAAACGTTCTCTTCTGTCTTGCTACGCATGCTGTACCAGAAACACTGGGGAAATAACTCTAGAACTTGGAACGGATGTGCGGAGCATATGCATATGTAAATATGTAGAGAAAGCCCGTTTAGCTACTCATGTAGGTTTTGTGTGTGCTTTCTATTACAGATATGTCGAGTTAGTGAGCGCCAGAAGAAAATTCTACCGGACGTTTCTCCGCTTCGTCCCCCACAGCCGGCACCAAATATTCTATGCTGAGGAAAAGGGGTGGTATGCATACCACACTCTCAGGAAACTGAGTAGGAAACCGGCCCTCTTCGAGCCGGCGGCCAAGCTTTCGGGGGCTCCGTCAGTGCATAAAAAAAGCTTCGTACAAGTAGACACTGCTGTAGGGTTTGAAGAGGGTTGGAATTTCTAAGAATGTTGTTCGATATCTTTACATGTTCAAACACGACAGCTTTTTCGCACGTGCTTGGTAGTAGTAACAGTAGCACCGCCGTCAGTGCTCTCACCACTTTGATACGCCCTTCTTTATCGCTCAAACATACTACTGGTGTCTCTCGTTTTTTCCACCCTCTATGTTAGAACGATGTACACGCTGCTGCCTCGGGGATACTTGGAGCGCCACGGCGGCCGGACACAACGCCAAATGCTCAAACCTCCACAAACGCCAGCCGCTGCGGCAACGTCTGGACAAGGATCGGCGCCAGCAGGGGCGGCGGCCAAAGGCGGCAGCGTCGACGGCGGCGGCGGTGGCGACACGACTCCGAAAACGGCTGTCATCAGCCTGGTATCACCCGACGGCAAGGGCAAAGGCAAGGCCAAGGCTGTGCCAGACAGGTCCAGGCGCTGGCTGCTGTCGGACAACGAGGCTGCGAGCGACGTTGACTTCATGCGGGTGAGGTGTAGTGCCATAATAATTGCCTATTTGGGTTCCTATCAGGTTCAGGTTCAGGTATAGTGTTATACTTTTTGCATGCCTATTTGGTTCCTTTTTGGTTTTATGGGGGCGTTATGCGGTGAGCAGTCAGATGAAGGTTCGGGAAAGGCGCCGTCAATGTCAGGTGTTGGCGGTACTTTCTTTTTTTCCCTCCTTTGTTTCTTCTCCTCGTATGCCCTTGTTGAAACCAATCTTGGGATGGTACTTGTATTTTTCATCTCTGATGCACCGTTGAAATGGAGGCGAAAGTCCCGCCCTCACTCTCCCCCCAACGCTGTCTCGCGTCAACTCGGCGATGGATGGGTGGATGGATGGATGGATGGATCGATTCCTTCCTTTGCAGGCCGGCTTACCGGAGGGCGTGATCGTCAAAACCACCAAGGAAAAGCGGGAAGAGGCGGAGGCTGAGGCTGAGGCCAAGGCTGCAGCGGAGGCGACAGCGGAAGCGGCAGCGGCAGCGGCAGCGGAAGCGGAGGCAGTTAAGGCAAAGACAGCAGCGGCAGACGACAAGGTTGATCCGCGACTCACCCCGAAAGAACAGGAGTGGCTACAGGCCGCTCAGGAGGAGGAAAAGCAAGACGCCGAGAAGAAGGAGTCGGACGGACAGCAGGCTGATGGTGCCGGCGAGGGGGGGGACCGAGCAGCCGAGTCTAGCGTAGCCTCCACCGCTGTAGCTGTACACCCTGCGGGCGGGTCGAAAGCGTCCGGAGATTCAGCGGCGGTAGTGGCAACAGGCGCAGTCGCGGGTGTCGGTGACGGTAAGGGTAAGGAAGGGGCGGTAGAGGCCCCTGGTGGTAGTCCGGCGGCGTCGGGGGATGCGGGGAAGAGCGGTGATGCCGCCGGCGCCGGCGCGTCGGCTACCGCCATGGACGTAGACAACGATGATGACTTGACCGAGGACAAGGATAAGGATAAGGATAAGGATGAGACAGAGGGAAAGGGCTTGGAGAATGCTGTGGCGGTGGCGGTGGATGGGAAGGCCGAAGAAGGAGGGGGTGAGGCTAAGCCGGCGACTGGTACCCAGCCAGTGGAAGCGGCAGTCAAGGAGGGTGAAGGGGCGGCAGCGGTAGGGGAGACGGACAAGGAGGAAGGAAAGGAGGAGGAGGAGGAGGAGGAGGGAGAGGAGTCCGGGCCTAGCTACGGGGAGGTGATGGAATGGGACGCCAGACGGGACGCTTTGGAGCTCAAGGTTGGTAATTTGGTAGCGTTATACGACACGGGCACATATACATTGTGCCAGACGAGGAGATAGAGCTGCACAATGATCTTGAAGAAGCTGACAGTGTTGCTATTATACTTCGTGGGGATAGATACTATAGGGTTACGGTTTGGCGTGACTTCGATGTGGAACGGGCTGGGCTATGTCTCACCCGTGAGTGGCCTCACAACACGTCTATCTCCTCGTACTGCTGTCTTATCATCGTTCCCCTTGCCTGATTTTACTCATGACCTGATGGATTGTATTGTTGCATCCCATCGCAGCATCTCGGCTCGTCTCTTGGATAGCCGTTCATGTAGCTGCTGCGCGTTTGTGTGTGTTTTCTTTTTCGTCTTCATCGTAAAGGAAATCATGATCGCTGAGCGCACGAGGGAGCGGCGAAGAGGGCTCATGAGGGAACAGGCTAAGGGGCAGGCAGTGGTCCAGTACCTCACCAAGCTGGAGAGGGAGGAGAGGGGGAGGAGCAACCTCCTACGCGCCAAGGGCCTGATGCTGGCGGTGCGTTGCTGCGTGCGTGCCATGCCTGTCGTCGTCACAGTAGTCCTTTCGTATGTAGTCCTTCTGGTGGTCGTCGTGCCCTACAACAGAACGTTCTAGAAGCCTTTTCGTAGTCCTTCCGGTGGTATTCGTGCCCTGCAATAGAACGTTCTAGGGACCATTTCGTAGTCCTTCCGGTGGTTGTCGTGCCTCAGAATAGAACGGTCTAGAAGCCTTTCGAAGTCCTTCTGGCGTTGTCGTGCCTCAGAATAGAACGTTCTAGAAGCCATTGCTGCGGCTACTATGGCCGGGTCGTGTTTGTCAACTCTATTTTCAAGTGATTCCGTTCCAGCCCGTCATCACTATGATTACCAAGTACTGCCTTCCTCTGTGCTCCAATTTCTGCAACCGAAGAGCATGAATACCTCCCTTGTACAAGTACTATGGAGTACTTGCACAAGATAACATCCCAAAGTAGGAGGAACAACACAAGTATTTTAGTCGGGCCTATTCGTGTTTTGTCCATCCTCCGGTAAATGAACACGCCGTTGTTGTTGTTTATCGAGGAAACCAAGGGCATCCGAGAGCGAGGCTGTGCTTACGCGTCTGGGGGGGGTTACGACTACCGTAAGAGGGGCGGAGAGATGTCACCTCCACCTCCCCTAGGCTGATTCCAAAAAGGTCGATTGCCCCACAGCCAAGCTTGTGCCAACACAAAAAAATGACGGTTTTGGATTCATCTCGTCGAGAGCTTTCCGTAGACATGTCGGGCTCTTTTCCCCACCCACGTGGTTGTGAAGCAATCGAATCGGACTTTGAAAGCCGGTGTAGGAGGGATTCCTATCTCTCTCTCTCCGACTCTTACGGAATACCGGTACCACGGTACGGGATACGGTACGGTACAGACAATCTTGGTTGTAAAGCAATCGAATCGGGCTTTGAGAGTCGGTGTAGGAGGGGTGCCATCTCTCTCTCTCTCTCTCTCTCTTCCTCTTACAGTAGTGCGATTGGCGCAACAAGATACCAGATGCTCTGTGTCCACGCGCACACCTAGTCTCACATCTTGTTTCAACCTTGTTGTTTTTGTTTTGTTTGTTTTTTTTTCCAGGACGTGGCTAGGATGCTGCCCGAACGCGTGAAGGAGATGATCGAGCTTCGAAACAAAATTGACAAGATTTCCCAGGGTCTCGGCGGGAGCGGCACTAACGATAACAATGGCGATGGCGATGGCGGCGGAAAGGCCGGGACCGCAGAGTCTTCAGTGGAAGGAACAGCAGCTGGTACTGGTGCGTAGTTTGAAACACGCCATTTGTTGTGGGGTCCAAAGCAATTAATTCCTTTTTGTGGGAAATACTGCACACGTGGCATCACGGAGAGACTAGCTGCTCGAGATGATTCGCAGAAGGGCTGTGTTGAGGTCCAGTATTCATAGTTTTCGAGTCTTCTGTGTTTTTTTTCAAGTCCGTCCAATGATGTGCAGCAGCAGTATGCAAGTGATATGCCGTCAACAAGAATGAAAAGTAGTTTTGGGGACGAAGACGATTGAGTTTGACATCATTTCGTGCCGCGAGTGAAGTGCTCAACTCGCCCTGAGCGTTTTTATTATTTTTATTTTGTCTTCTGTGGGGGTTGTGTTTTACTGCCCCGTGTTGAGACTGGACGTCGTTTCGTGTCGTGAGTGAAGTGCTCAACTCGCCTGAGTGTCTTTTTTGTTTGTTTTGTCCTCTGTGGGGGTTGTGTTTTACTGCCCCGTGTTTAGGCTCTTTGGCAGGGGAGGCCAAGAACAAAAGCAAGGCTTCGCGTGCATCCGAAGGAAGCACCAACGCCACCGCCAACACCCAGCGGACATCACCGTCTAGCTCGGGCTTCGACATGGCTTCTGCTGGTGCCACCACTCCTGGCTCTTCTGCTTGTTCCGACGGCAAGGATAAGGGGAAGGGGAAGGCTCGGCGAAGGAACGACGACAACGGGAAGGGCGGCGAGTCTGCGAAGTCCGGGGTAGTAGATTCGATGGCTGAGGACGAGGGAGAGCAGGAGGCGTCGCCATCGTCAGCAACAGCGGCAGCTTCGTCTTCGTCGTCGTCCTTCGCGGCTACGCCGTCGTGCGGCGACGATGCCAGTGGCGAGGGATTGTTGCTGGGTTCGAATCCAGACGTGCACGCTTTGACGGCGCAGTCGATGCTCAGGTGAGATCCGGTTGGGGGGCTCAGCAATGCGGTTTTGTGAGGAGGGGGGAGGGGGGTCAGACGTGCACGCTTTGACCAAGCAGTCGATGATCTGGTGAGATCCGGTTGGGGGGCTCAGCAGTGCGGTTTTGTGAGGAGGGGGGGGGGGGAGGG